GAGCGACATCCACGACTTACCCGCTTTTTTATATATAAATTCGTTTCGCGTCATTCTAATTCCAAAAAAAACGAATTTATTTTTGCTGTTTTTTGTGTAAATGTTTTTTATGSTTTTTTATAGCTTTTTTCAGTTTTTATAGCTGTGGATTTTTATATGTTTCTATTGTGCTATAATAATAATTAAAAAAAATGTTTATTGAATTAATAAGAAATGTGAAAACATGCAATAATAATTTATAATATAGTATATATTATTTATTATTTATATCTAATGGAGATATTACAACTGAAATTTCAGGTAAACTAATTACTAAACCGTGTATACTATACTGTGTGGCGTTTCATCAAACGAAATTATCATGAGTTTGATCTAAATTATGTTATATCCTTATATCTAARTAATATAATATTACCCATCTCGAGTTTCAAGTCCAACAATTACGAGAGTTACTCGTAAGTCATAATTAGGGAATGGATATCATTGTAATGAAAAAATCAAAGTATGTACATAAATATCTACTTATTTTTATTGAAATATGTAAAAAAAAAAAATCAAAAATATGTAATATCCACTTAGCAGAAAAAATAAGTATTAAAAGTAAGTATAAAAATCTTATCTCTTATCTAATTATTAAAACAATGCGAAACTATATATTCTCTAAGATTTAAAAATGTAAAATGGCGGCGATTTGGTCGTAAAATGTTTTTATATTGACAGAATGAATGTTCCATATCAACTGACGTATAATGATAGCATACTTCATATTAACTACATCAAGTARTGTGAATTTGACAGTTTTAATTTGTTTTGTGATTCTTCAATAACGCATAAACTTTCTGATAAGGACATATTTCGAGTTTCCAGTTGTTTTATAGTATGCATCAAAAAACCAAAATTAGCAGACATTTATGTTAAATTATTTTTTAAATTATTATTTTCCATCAAATTATTTGCTTTATTGATAGCGGTGGCAGTTTAAGTATTAAGATTTGAAATTATATTTTTAATTTTTTCAAAATGTTCACAATAATATTGAGCGGCTTCTAACCACGTAACCCATCTCGTTAAAATAGGCTCTGTAGGTAGATTGAGATCAAGGTATAATTCTTTGATTTTAAAACTCTACTTAATGCTTTTTTAGAAATATTTTCTTWATTGTTGCTATTAACTGGTCTACGTCAAGGTAACTTGATCTTATTGTTTCTGTCACTCGATGAAAAGCATGTGCTAACTGCTAAGCAAGTGACATGTATTAGTTAAGGGAAAAATGCATTCAGAACATTACCTGMTTTAGACATATACGGAGCGGTATCGGACAAAAATAATAATACATTTTCATATTTTACTCCTTCGGGCCATAATAAATTCATAGAAACACTAAAGAACTTAGCAATGGTTTTATGATTGCATTTATTCAACTGCTCACAATTTAAGAGAAATGAATTACTAGGCTCAGACAAGTTTATTAACAATAACATATGTAAAATAATAAACATCTTATTTATATTTTAGATTTTGAACTGAGCGATGAATGTATTGATTTTATGATGATTATTGTGTTATTTATTTATTTTTTGTGTCTGTTTACACTATAATTTGTTGAAATAATGCTTCAATTTTCAACTTCAGTAGCATTTGCGGTTGGAAAGTGAATCTAGTTGGTGCATTGGGGTAGTCAAATTTTGAGATTCTGAGTAGTTTTAAAAAGCGCCGGGAAAAACAAAAAAAAGATTAAGAAAAAACGGGAATTTTTATATAAAATCARTTTGATCAGATAACCAATTTTGGATGTTTGTGTAACTCTAAAACAAATTACCGTAGATATATGAAATGTTTACTGAATGTTTATATTGACATTTTCTATACTTGATAAATTTTTAAAAATATTTCAACTTTTTTAAAGTTATTTATAGACATCTGAAATTTTCCGTTTTTTAATGTTTTTATCCTATTAATGTTAATAAAATTGTATTCGTTGGGTCAAAAGGCTTGACAATTTAATATACAAGGTTCGGATAAATTATCGTTTGGGAGGATTAGGATTTGTCTCCACCGACGATAGTGTTTTGCTCGAAAATAATTAGTTATTAAATTTGATTATGTATACCTGCGTACCTGGTAAAATAATTGATAATTATATACTTTTTTAAATATTTTATTTAGTTATACTAAAATAYTATTGGATAAAAGACCATTTACTTTCAGCATCGCGTTATTCGCGTTTCGTCATTACTGAATTAAAATGTATTAAATTCATTACAGTAACCTATTCAATGATGTGGTAAACTTGAAACTTATCATACATTAATTAAAAATTAAGCAACTGACCTATATTATTTTTTTGAATGAGGTATAGGTATATGTTTAAGTAATCCTATGATGTTGTTATCCATTGTTATTAGATGAAGATTAAAAAAAGATAATTTTTATTGTAATTTATGGTAATTTATTTATTTTAAATTTAAATTTTGAATATATGATATTAATAATTATCATTAAACAAAAATTTGAACTTTAATGTTTAAAAATAGTATCATTGTAGTAAATGTTATAATATCACGTTTTTATGTTAATTATTTATAACTCAGTTTTTATGTCTTCCGGTACATTAACTTCATTGAATTCTGTTAATGACAAACTACTCCAAAATGCATAATTTCGATGGTTTAATTGTTCTTTGGCTTCAAACGTTTGTTKTTGAGTGATCTTAATGAATCTAAAAGGATCAGCTGGATTCTTGGAAACAGGTAACCAAATTTTTGTATTTCCAATATCCGGTTCTCTAAAAAATTAAATAAAATTATAAACATTATGATTTTAACCTATTAGTTGTTAATAGGGTTATGAGTATGAAATATTTCACATGAAATTTTCACTTTGAAATATTGAAGAATATAATATTTTAATATTTTGTTTTTGGTATGTTTGACAAAATCATCACTATACTCAGATGGTCAATCTGATTTCATAGCTGATTAATGATCATCGGTTCACGATTGTRTTTTTTTTTATGTTTATAATTAAATTATAATGATAATTGATAATACTAATATAATATAATATTTATATATTATTATATTCATAATATTCATAATATATTAATGTACAAATGTGATATTATATTAGCTCTATTATAGGCTCTAAATTATAAATTACAATAATGCTATTATACTAAGGATTAAATAGATATAAAAATTGTATTTTGTTTGAATTTAAATAGGAATACTATATAAGATTTTGACTCATAGATTATTATAATAGGGACTCTGGTTATAAAAATATATAATTAGTAATTATAAAATATTAAATAAACATTAATTGAGAAATTGAGATGGGTAATTCATGTGTTTTGTAACTTTTTTAACTATGTTTATATGCAATTTATGTAATTTGTATAATGTACTAGGTATGTAAAAAAATACTTCGATAACATTTCTACTCTAGATTTAAATTAAAATATTTTTTTATTATTTTTCATAAAAATGAAACATTTCAACAAAATATTTTTATGAAATTTTAGAACACTAATTGTAGATAACTGTTGATAAATACTTATCTAGAATATTATAAAAAATATTGTTGGTACATTTTTAGACTTTTTTTGTAAGTAAGGGGAATAGGCCATTGGGTGTGGGGTGGTACGGTAGGGGTTATTTTTGTATATATTTTTAGTAGGTTTTTAAGTGGGTAGGTTTGTAACACGTGGTTGTGTATGTGTGGCTAGGGCCAAGGATATGTTGCTAAAAATCCCGGGTGGTCACCCATCGGGGTGTTAGCAACTGCGGCCGGTAAGTACGCTSCTCAGTGCGTTTCCGCAGATTGAGCGTACGACCGCGACTCACCAAGCCACCGTTTTTAGACTATATTAGTCATTAGGTTAAGAACCTAATAAACTTAAATTTCTTACATTGATAACAATMATTTATTACCGATAAAAATTAATAATTACCCATTTTTTATAAAGGTGGCCCAGATGTTGACCATCAATTTGATCATATTTCTATCTTCTTCATTGTCATGAAGAGGGAAAACATTCTTTTTCAATACATAATTGGTATCGTCAGAATGAGTTACATCTAATAATATATTATTTATAAAGAATTATCAATATAACGTATATTACAGTATTACACATACAAATAAAACAAATAATATCTAAAATACGTCATTTACTTGATCCTCGGAAATATGATTTTGGATCGATACTAGCCATGATAGAATAATTACCACTGTATCCRAATTCATGGAAATATACAGGTGCCGTATTCTTTGCGGCAATATGCTGAGCTGCTTTACTTACAGCATATCCAAACAATCTATCTGAAATCATCTAAAATATGTGTATACTATAGGTTATTAAATKATTGTTTTAAGATAATTTATGTAGATTGTAGGGTTAAGAATAAAAAGCGCAGCGATAATAATGCACTAAAAACTGAACAATAAATGAATTTTAGAAAAATAATCACTAAACACAAACTATGCTTAAATATGACCTACCTAATTAAAAGTCTAAAAACCTAAAAATATATCAAACAAGAAAATATTAACGACAAAAATATATAAGTACATATTTTGACGGTAATACATTGGTAAAATATGCAATTATATGCAAAATAAAATGTTATTATTATTTTTATTTTTTAATATAGATATCATGACACACATTTCTATATAAGAATGGAACCTATTGGACAGCCAAAAAAAAATATATGTAAAATCATAAACATCTAAAACCTATTGATAAAGATCTGTTTTAATCCTCAAATATATAAAAAAAAGTTGTAATTTAAAAACAAAAAAAATTACTGAATAATATTCCTTTTATTTTACATCTAAAACACGTCTTTACAATACAGGGGGGGAAATATAACGAAAAAATGGATTTGATAGATATAGTAAGTTAATAAAAATTTAATTAGTATAGGAATGTAGAATAATAAGTTTATTTATTTAAAAAAAATATATAAAAAGTTGAAATTTAAAGTTTATCTACATTTAAGCTACTTATAGTACTAACTTACTTCCACAAGGTTGCCTACAGTTTCTTTTGATACTGGTTTGTCACCAAAGTAAAATCCTTTTATATCTTGAGCAATTTTGCTTCTCAGATTCTCGTTTGAAATTGTGTAATTATAATCAAGAAGATGTGGTAAATATTCATTCCAATTATTGTTTAGTTCATTTTGACTATTTTCATACATAATAAATATCGCTAAAATAAGACCCTCATCTTGGGTAATGCTCATAAGCACCGGAATGTCATACGGAACGAGTTTTTCAGGGATATCGGGTAAGAATTTTTCATCTCCGGCTACCTCAACAGTTGGACCAAATGGTGAAAAAGGATTGTATTTCCATGGCTAAAAACATTATAAATAAAATACAATTTGAGTTCATATAAATTTATTATTTAATAAACAACAAAAAATTACCATGAAGTTTATAAATGATTTTGCAATGTCCGTTCCTGGTCTAGAACGAAGACATTCCACTATATCCATGGAATTATTTGTTGGACATCCCAGCAAGTTTGCAATGTACTTTGTTTTTTGATCAACGTTTTCAGTATACGACCAAGGACAGAATGCACTACCACTTTGAAKTATTACTCGATTAAATAAGCCTTAAAATGAAAAAAATATTTATAACTAAAGTTATAACTTTAAAGTGCATATACATCTAAAATATTAGGCTAAATATTTCTTATATTAAAACTAACTAATCCAAACGTTAACATTGGCATAAGTTAATTTAAACTAATTTTATTTAGTTTCAAGTTATTGAGACTATAACWAATAGCCCAAAATAAATATAATATGCTTATATATGCCAAAATATCAAAAAATGTAAGAACAAGCACTTTCAACAAAAATGCAAAATTTATGATATCATTTATTTGACAATTAATTAGAATAATTTAAATTTCAAGAAATTAAACGTAAAATATCTTAATTTATAGTGCATGAACATAGAAAAAGTCGAATGAGTAAAAAAAAAAATCATTCACACATACCTACCTTTAGACATTGGTGAAATCATATGATAATGAACTGAACCTGCTCCAGCAGACATACCAGTGATAGTTACACTATTTGGGTTACCACCAAATGCAACTATGTTTTGTTGTATCCACTTCAATGCTGCTACTTGGTCTTTCATTCCGTTATTTCCGGGTAAAACACTATCGCCGGTGGAGGCAAATCCTAATACTCCCAAACGGTAATTTATTGATACATAAACAAAATCGTTGACATCCAAAAGATATTGAGGACCATAGGAAATGCCTTGACCACCCATGTACGCGCCGCCGTGTATGTGCACTACTACATTCATTAAATCACCAGACGTATTCACTTGTGGTAACTGTATAATTAATGCAACTATATTTTAATTTACATTGCAATGCCGTATTGTGGTACTAGGGTATAGATTTAAGAATAATGATAAGTAAAACAATCAAAGTACAAGTTCAGATTATTAGTGTTTTGTATATGTTATTTTTGAAGTGTCGAGAGTATATAGATTTAAAAAGTATTTTAATTGTTTATATAATAGGTACGATAAAATAGTAATACATTATTGACTATTAATATTATATTTATTATTTACATGGATTTTTCACGTACCTTTGGTGTATAAACATTGAGATATAAACAATCTTCTTGTCCAATAATTTTTAAATCAAAGTCATAATCCGGTCCTAAACAAGCGCTTCCAGGAGTTGTGGCGTTCCATATGCCCAACCAAGGTTTTACGGGTTGTGGTTCCTGTGAAAATAATATTCAATGGGTTTTAAATTTAAATTGACATGCATGAATAAGAAAATTGTTCTTAACATACTTTAAATCGATAGTTTTGAACTGGAGGACTTGCGTACGGTATGCCTATGAATGAGTAAATTTTTCGACCATTATAGGTATATTCAAATCCACCTGCAATTTCACCAGAATGGACTTTCACTTTAGGCGTATTAGACGCCGAAAATGTCAAAAAGCATCCGATAAATAAAAAAAAGCTTAATAAAATTCTACATGCTTTTTTCATTTTTAATGGAGACGAATGTTGATTTAGATATTAATTTTTTCAGATTTCTTAAATATGTACTAATAGTAAACTATATTTATCTTAGAAATCGCTGTGTACTTAACCTTTACAGCCAAAATCTGAAAATAATAATCAATTAGATTAGGACGATTAGGTAGTTGCACAGATAATAAATAAACTATAATGTATTTAGGTTTCTTTAATGAGAATTGAAAATTGAAATTAAATACCTAAGTAATTATTATACAATAGGTTAATATTAGAGCTATTAAATTATATATGGAGTTGGCTACTATACTCTATGGAGGTATAATCCTCCGGAATTTTATTCATCATCGTTTGACATATACGACTATCAACGAATTTAATATCACGATTGAGCAGTTCGTTACATACTTTGCATATGTAATATRTATATATTTCGTTATTCTTTGTTTAAATATCTAATATCTTCCAAATTTTAACTTAAGATGYCTATAAAATAAAATGTTGTTTATATATTTCTTAGATTTTTTGGTTACAATATTAACTACATATGAAAAATTTTGTTTTTAAATGTTCAAGTCTTTTAACTTAGCAGAAAATTATGTATCGACAATAATTGAAAATAAAAAACAAAAATCTAAATTTATCATTTCTATAAAAACTCAAAAGGAATACAAATATTTTAAAATCGTATTTCGTATGAAAAGTGATCACATAAACATATTRTGATKAAAATTAAAATTAACTAATAAGATTTAAAGGTAAGATTATTATCTAGCCAACCTCATATGCTTTTTATCATATTTTAATTTTTTAGAAGCCCTCGATAATAATGTTATTTTTAATTTTTATAATAGGTAAATTCACTCCAAATTTTAAACTAACGGAGTTAAACGTGATCTTCTGAGCGCAAAATTTGGTATGTTACGCACTTGTAAGAAGGAGATTACACATGCAGGTATCACGTCCTAGTATTATTAGTTTAATAGTTATTATTAATAAGAAATTTTCATTATAATATTTTAAATTATTATTTAATTCTTTTTATATATTATTATATTATTATTAGAGTACCTACTTAAATTAAATTTACTTAGCATTTATTTATATCACATCTTTAAAGTGCTTAAAGATCTGTTTTTTTTTTTTTTACTTAGCTATTTTTTATACGGAGTTAAACGAAATGTTGATGTCGTGATATCACCAATTTTTTTTGTAATTTGCCTCCAAGATTATTATTATTAATAATAACTATTAAACTAATAGCACATTTTGCGCTCAGCAGATTACATTTAACTCCGTTAGTTTAAAATTAAGAGTGAATTTACCTCTTATAAAAATTAAAAATAACATTATTATCGAAGGCCTCTAAAAAATTAAAATATGATAAAAAGCATAAGAGGTCGGCAATCTTACCTTTAAATCTTATTGGAGGTCAATTCACTCTAAATTTTAAACTAACAATGCTATACGTGTACTGCTGAGAGTAAAAAYTGCCATGTTACGCACTTGTAAGATGGAGACAACATAATATGCGGTTAGGTCTTTTTAACAATTAGAAATATGATACCTAATAACCTAATAATAATAATATAATATATATTTATATTACGCGTTGAAGCGATAAGCGATAACGAATTACGAAATGACACAAATAATAAATACCTACGGGAATGCGAAATAGCAATAGAGAGATGCGTTGTAATTTTCTCCTACCTAATCCACCAAATATTGTACTGCATACACGAAATGAAGTGGGGGAACCGGTCGGAACGACACGCGATATACGGCCGCCGTGATTTTATATTTCATTTTAATTTMTCATCAAAACGTTTACACGTTTTTATCATTAACTTAATTTCTAACTGTACAATTTTGATGATTTTTCAAAAGGATCATCTGCACAATTTTTCTGATTTTTACAGTTTATTAGGTATTAATTGATTCAGAAGATAATTAGTTTGGTCCGGTTAAAAAAAAACACCAACATTTACACTGTTTAAATAAATGTCCGATCCTGCTTTGAGATAATAATATACATTGTCGTGCCACCGCTATATTATTTTTTTACTTAGCTGGATGTATAGAGTTTACTGTAACGTTATAAATTAGAAAAATTAACGATGCCTACGATTTACTGGTTTATGTTAAYATTACCCAGATAATAAAAAAATTTTACAGCTATATAATCACATCATATTAAGTATGTTTAATATTAACAATACCCATAAAATATAAATATTTTAACATTAAATTTATCTTCGCCAATTATCATAATCATTTGATGAAAACTTATCGATTAACATGGTAAACATAGTAATAGGTATTTTTGAACAATATAAAAATCATTAAACATTTATTTAGGTATAATAAATATTATCAATACTATAAAACACAAAAATATAGCGATAAGTATATCAATAGGTACCTACCTATATTTAATTATCCATACTCAATTTTAATTTTATTACCGCTCATATAATTAAACGTTAAATATTAAAATATATTATTATTCACTACATGATATTATGATCTTAAACATGTAAACTAATATAATATATATTAAGCTGTTTAGTATTAAGAAAGTGCGATAGTGTAGTTCGTAAACGGGTGAAACAGTAGTAATACAACTAACAACATATTTTACATAGTACTTTTTTAGATCTCCATGATTCAAGTTCCCCTACTTGTTTATTTTTTAATTCATGGTCATAAAATACAAYAATGTGAACACACTGGATTATAGTAACGGCGGGTGAAAAATCGGTTATTTAACTAGTACTTTGTTCGAAAACAGTGCCTATTGATATTTATTTTATAACCTGTTTAAYTATCATAATTGGAAGCCATTTATAGCTATTTGATATTTTTGAGGTTCTTCGTATTTTTTATAATACCCAAAATACACATGGTACACAATTTCTTTTTAAACGTTTCTGAAATTCTAAATGTTGAATAAAATATTCATAAAAATTACGTTTTAAAATGCATAATATATTACAATAGGTTCTTCATAAGTTGTAAAAAATTCGATATGATATAGGTAATATACTATTTATGGTTAAAATAATAAATTTACTGACTATAAGGTCGATAGTTCAACATCATGAATGTAATATGTAAATACGTGCGCGATCTCTAGCAGTAATCCATTTCTATGTGTAATGCTTTTTCTTTTAGTACCTATCAATGTCTTTATCTTTCCAGCATTTACTAACAACAAATTGTTCTTTAGAATAAGATATTGTACCATACTAAATATACCTTAAAATATGTCTCGGATAAARGTAGTCGTAATTGTTACATGTAGTTAAAAATTTTTGTTGAACAAACTATTGTTTTCAAAAATTAAATAATTTAGTTTAATATGGGAACATACGATAATATGTTAAAAATATATATATATAATTCATTGAGATTTGCAGACTTCTTGCAAATTAATTTTATATTATAAATAATTTATAACATAAATTAAAAATCAAGAAACTCACCATTCTAAACACCCTGTGTGTACAAATAAAATAACTTTTATTTTTACTTATATGATTTTTTTTTTATATAGGTACCACTAACAGACACTTGCACTAGACGTACAATATGATGATATTTTTTAATACGAAAAATAAAAGATAAAAAACATCCTACCTATTAATAAAATAGGTTTTAAGAAAAAAATGTAATGTAAAAATATTTATTTAAGCCATGGACTTTTATTACATAGTAGATCCGGTAAGAATTTCAGCTTTCAGTTTTTTTTCAAAAATAATATTTTTAATCTCGTTCCATTGCACAAATTGGGAGCATTTAAATTTCGCATGAGAATAATAGGTGCAACAWTTTTTAAATCAAGTTTGTATGGGGGGGAGACCTGATGGATTTAATAAGTTAAGAAATTCAGTCGGGTTATGTATAGCTTCATCTTGATTAGTATAAGTGTATCTATGGAAATATTGTTTTTTTTTCATCAGCTTCGAACATGTTAAGAACTTTATCGTTTATGATGTTGACGGTGTCGTTTTTAAGGGCCGATTAACGATCGGTTCAGTAGTTTCCGAGAACATAGGCCTCAAAGGTTTTCATTTTCANTATCATAATTGGAAGCCATTTATAGCTATTTGATATTTTTGAGGTTCTTCGTATTTTTTATAATACCCAAAATACACATGGTACACAATTTCTTTTTAAACGTTTCTGAAATTCAAAATGTTGAATAAAATATTAATAAAAATTACGTTTCAAACCACGTACCTATTTTGTATAATTATAAATTTAATTTTAATACTCAAGCTTCTAAAATACATAATATATTACAATAGGTTCTTCATAAGTTGTAAAAAATTCGATATGATATAGGTAATATACTATTTATGGTTAAAATAATAAATTTACTGACTATAAGGTCGATAGTTCAACATCATGAATGTAATATGTAAATACGTGCGCGATCTCTAGCAGTAATCCATTTCTATGTGTAATGCTTTTTCTTTTAGTACCTATCAATGTCTTTATCTTTCCAGCATTTACTAACAACAAATTGTTCTTTAGAATAAGATATTGTACCATACTAAATATACCTTAAAATATGTCTCGGATAAAGGTAGTCGTAATTGTTACATGTAGTTAAAAATTTTTGTTGAACAAACTATTGTTTTCAAAAATTAAATAATTTAGTTTAATATGGGAACATACGATAATATGTTAAAAATATATATATATAATTCATTGAGATTTGCAGACTTCTTGCAAATTAATTTTATATTATAAATAATTTATAACATAAATTAAAAATCAAGAAACTCACCATTCTAAACACCCTGTGTGTACAAATAAAATAACTTTTATTTTTACTTATATGATTTTTTTTTTATATAGGTACCACTAACAGACACTTGCACTAGACGTACAATATGATGATATTTTTTAATACGAAAAATAAAAGATAAAAAACATCCTACCTATTAATAAAATAGGTTTTAAGAAAAAAATGTAATGTAAAAATATTTATTTAAGCCATGGACTTTTATTACATAGTAGATCCGGTAAGAATTTCAGCTTTCAGTTTTTTTTCAAAAATAATATTTTTAATCTCGTTCCATTGCACAAATTGGGAGCATTTAAATTTCGCATGAGAATAATAGGTGCAACAATTTTTAAATCAAGTTTGTATGGGGGGGAGACCTGATGGATTTAATAAGTTAAGAAATTCAGTCGGGTTATGTATAGCTTCATCTTGATTAGTATAAGTGTATCTATGGAAATATTGTTTTTTTTTCATCAGCTTCGAACATGTTAAGAACTTTATCGTTTATGATGTTGACGGTGTCGTTTTTAAGGGCCGATTAACGATCGGTTCAGTAGTTTCCGAGAACATAGGCCTCAAAGGTTTTCATTTTCAGATTTATATAAAATACATATATGTATATTATATATAAATTATATAATAAACGTTTTTTTYTTTATAAGATAGAGTTATCACGATTAATATTAAAATTGGTTAGTTGTAACTTATAAGCATGAACTAATATAATATGGATTGGTAAGAATACTTGTATCGGCAGCACAGTTTGCGTATTCTATAAAAGGTTTATTGGGAGGCTTCTCTGTAACAGGTACCTAAGTTTGTCTCATCTTGAGCACTGCGTCTAATTAACTTATTCCCATAATACTATTTATAAATATTTATACATCTATGTAAATAAAAAATAACATATAMCAAAATAATGGTTATAACAATTAACCACCAGATTCAGAGCGGTCTATCCTCTCAGACACACACAAAATCCGTACGAAAATCAGATCGGAAAAGGGGTTCCCATCAATCACGTCGCACGTTGTTTCCATTCCATCATATTATCTTAGTAAATTCATAGTTATAACTTATAAGTTACAAAAAAAATGTTTGCCGGGGGGACAAGTTAATTTTTTCGAACGTTCAAAATTAGACACTGGATATTTACCAGTAAATTAACTAATTATCTAATTGTCTTGTCATTCAAAAGCTATTATAACTGTAGGTTATTGAATTTTCATCAATGCTTATTTTAACATTTTCTATTCAAATTAAAAATAAGATTTTGACTAATTTTGAGATATTTATAGACATTTGAAATATTCAATTATTGTTAGTTTTTATTCTTTAATGTCAATAAAATTGTTATTTCTTAGCTCAAAAAGCTTGAAAATACAAAGGTTCTTTACAAAGGTCTATACAAAGGTTTACAAGGTTCTTCATGAGTTTATATCAAAGCAGTAAATAAATATAAAAGCTCCAAAGGTACGATGAATTTATTTTATAAATATTTAAAATGTTATAAAATTTAC